TTTTATCTTTGATTTTTTTTTTATTGTGTCACATTTTACAGTGACTATCAAGTATCAATATTTTTAAGAGTTTGTTAGTCCAGTGGTATTTCTGAAAAAACTTTTTTATTAATTTTTTAATATGCTGATTTGTGATCATATACTCTTTAATACATATAGTACAGAAATGTTATTTTTCTAAGCTATAAGTTGGTCAAAAAAATTATTTGCGAGTATATATTGTATACCCTCTACACCATTCATTATAGCGCATAAAAAAACAAGTTTTAGTGCTATTATGTAATAGCCCTAGTTCAAATATTTTCTTAATAAAATGTGTGGCATTCATCAAAAAAATTGTTGTTATATTTAAAAATAATAAATTATGTAGATTTTATTAAAAGAAAGGTTACAGTACAATAATAATAATAATAATTATAATAATTGATACAAGTAGACATAAACAAAAATTAACAATTAGTTTTGGTGAATATAAGAGAACAAGTAAATCATTAAACAAAACTTAAATGTATGGTTTTCAATAATAATATGTATAATACTCATATTGGACGCGAATCGATATTCATACTTAATATATAAANGGACGCAACTCGATATTCATACTTAATATATAAATATTGTGATATAATTTATTGTAATTTAATAAAATATTTATTATACACTTTGTGATAGTAATTAAACATTGAAAAATACAATAATTATATGAGTACTAATGAAAATTAAATCAATTTAAATAATAGCCCATTGAATTACACTCATATCTTTACCACCAATTGTAATCAGTCTGGAATCGTCATGCAAAAAGGCCACATTGGTCACGTGACTACTATGTCCTCCATAAGAGTGGCACAGTGACTAATAAAATTTAATCATAAAAAATTAATACATTAAAAGTGTTATTTCATTGTAAAAATGAATTTCTATTTAAAATAAAATATACAATAAAATAATCAGATTATTTATTATACATAATTATATTATAATTTTTCTAACTGAATTTTTATGCTATTTTATTTGTAATTTATTAGCATAAGTTATAAGTATATATTAGCATAAGAACTCCTTAACAATATGAACATTTCCCTTTTTTTTTTTTTTGTCAAAACAATGACATAAACAATACCTAATGTATCATGTGCTTTAATTTCATACTCACTATCTAAAGATCTTTTAAAAACTTGTTTATTAGAATGAACTAAAACAAATAAAAAAAAAAAATTTTTTTTAATAATGTTGCTACCATTTTATGTAATGTTTTATAACAAAAAATTAATATTTTTGAATCATCCCAACCCGATTTAAATGAGAAATTTATTTAATAAAAATAAAATTTTTTAATATAAAATTCAAATTTTTTGAGCACAAATAATTTGTTATAAGATTTTGAATAAAAAGTACATATCAACTTGAAAATTAATAATAATTAAAAATTATATATATAATATTAAATAATTGATAAATTATTTTTTCTTGATGTATCTCTATTGCAGTTCGGATATGCTTTGCAATGTTTTGAAACTACTTATATTAAGAACTATACTGGTAGTTGATCTTCATTACGAGTTATATTGTTCTTGAATCAATACAACATCTGTATCAGCTACATCGTGTGTAATAAGGAAATTTTTAAATATATCTCAATTTTTTAGAGAATGTGAATATTTTCAATCACTAACATTAGATTTTCAAAATTTTTTTACACTAAAAATTATTATTATAGTTATTTTTGTATTACTGCACTTTAATCTATAAAATATGATATATCTAATATTTAAAATGAATGAAATTGATCGAAAAGAACGAATATATAATATACGAATATCGTATGCTATCACAATGTAACGTATAAATAATTTGGAATTGCTTAAAAATTATACATAAAAAGATTCAAAATTTTTTAGAATGCATTAGCTTAAATAAGAACTTCTATAATATAATTTTTTTCAATTCTTACCTAGAGTAAAGTTGAATAAATTAAAACAAATAAATAAATATAAAACAGCTTTATGCTGTATGATAGTGCTTATTGTATTGACACGGCACCGCCCTACGCTCTAGGCTGGCGCTCAGCCGTTTCTCTCTCGATATCAGCCGTCCACCTATTAATGTGACAAAAGGTAATCGTCGGTTGTCTCCCCCTCCCCTTGACATCGTGACAAGACCGCCGCTGACTATGTGTTACAAAGAGTGCGTTCTGCTTCCTTTCCGACGTCTACGCCATTACTGGTTGCTCTGTTTTTGATTCGAGTTTTGTGTCTTTTATGCAATTTTTGTAAAACGATACGTATTTGTGCATTGATATAATTGTGTAAATATTTAAAAACGGTGAATTACTTAATTAATTTCTATGTATGTATATACATCATTTGTGTGGCCTATTCTTTGGATTACGCATCAGTATTTAAGAAAATTATTCTTTATAATTCTATGTTAGGGACTAGTAAGTGGTTCAGTTAGTTGTGTTCTTTAGTTTGTTGTTTAGTTATGTTTTTTGTCCTTTAGTCATTTAAGATCCCTTAGGAGATAAGATTATTGTTCTCCCCCTTTGTCATAGATAATTTTAATCTAGAGTTACTATTTCAAAATTCCTATATGCACACAAATTGGTTTCTTTTATGGTTGAACTATTCTTTAATTGTGTATTGTAATTGTTATTGAAAGGATAATTCATTAATTATTATATATCCTAGTATTACATGATTGTAATTAATTCAAAGGTGAATAGCAGTTCTGTACCATTAACCAACACGTTGCGTGGTATGCTTATGACGACTACAAGAATAGAAGCCGATCATCACACTGTACTATCACGACCCATGAGTAAATTAAAACTAACCTTCTGAATCCCTGGTACTGTTTTTCAATAATATACGACTATTATTCATGAACTCCTGGTACAATTTAACCGTTTTATTTTGTAAACGTCAAATACACCGATTTCGCGTGTACGTGTCAATTAGGTTGTCTATATAAATTTCCTAATTTCTTACTCTTAAAATTGTTAAAAAATATAAGCCAATCATACAAGTAAAGAATTAGACATTTATGTAGTGCGTGAATGAGATATTTAAGTTATTCGTATAAGAATAACTAGGTACTTTATCTACTTTAAAATATATTCTTCAGAGATGTTATAAACTGTAATTGGCATATGGTCGGCTACATGTGAAAAATCTTAAGTCGTATTTTATCATTTTATAGTAAAGGATTTTTAAATTTATATTTATAATTTTAGGAAAGAGGTTAGGTTTTTGCACATTAACGTCATAAATTTAGCATTAAATATTTCTCTTTTAATATTAATATTCGTAAAAAAATAATTTAAACATATTTACAATAAAACATCTTGTCTCAAAAGTTTTTACGAAAAAAAAAACGATTACAAATATGAATTACAAAATTTAAAAACTGTGATGAAATTTAAACTTAGGTGAGAGTACATTTATGGATTAAACATAAAATTCAACAAAAATAATTGGTTAAAATTATTATGAAAATATTTCTTTTGGTTGGTACGTTCCTTTGATCCTACTCCAACGAAATAATATTAAACAAAAAACGAAAAAAATTCTTAATTTCATTATTAATTTAGGAAAATATTAGTGGTTAATAGCGAATCAATCACTCTATATGTATAGTAATAAAACTGTGTCGAATAATATGAGTACTATGTTTATTAGACATACATATTAACACAAAAGTTTAACGTTCATTGCTAACCAAACCTTTCATAGCAATGTTTTTGGAGTGGCTTTGTCACCGTAGTTAAACATAAAACATATTAAATTATACAAATAACAGATTATAATAAAATAAAGCCAATTGGGATGATTAAAAATGGATCACGCAGATTGTGTTATTTAACAATAACTGACTAGTTCACTCACTGATAGAACATTAACCAATTTACTTCAGCAACATTATTAATAACACATAATTTGTTTTGTACTTAGAAAATTGTAGTCTTTGTATAAATTGTACATATCAATTTAAAAAAGAGCCAAGCCCATTGAATTATATAAATAAATAAATTTGTGAAATTATACAATTATATAATTTAAAATTAAAAAACCCCGCACAGGGGGTCGCAGCACAGTGGTGAAGTGGCATATTTGGATCAAGTATAAGGATATCTGACAGTTATTAAAATCACTATCATAAAAAACGCTTCGTTGCAAATCTTTAGATAGTGTTTAATTTTAAAAAATTGGTGTATTATTCCAAAAGTTACATGATCTGCTAGTTCCTTATTAATATCTTGATTAAGTTAAAGTCTGTCGATAAAAAAGGGATTATTAAAAAATATTATTTCTCATAAAAAATTGTGTTGATCCATACATTTTTCAATAAGTTATAGCATTATAAAGTTAATAATGTAAAAAATAAAATCAAGATTTTTCACACAAAAATAGCATTTGGAAGCCGATTTTACCATGAAGACAAGTCCAGAGGTCATTATTTTTGTTCTATAATAAAGTATATTACATTAGCTTCAATTTAAGATATAAAAGTGTCAGACCTTCCGGAACATTTTCTAAACTTAAGTTGAAAAAGTTAATTTTTTGGTGAAAAAGTTGCCATTTTACATCCCCATCTGGGGCGTTCATCGTTTCCGCCAAAATTGACCGTATCGTTTCCGCCAAGCATCGTTTCCGCCAAATCTGAATAAGGTCGTTTTTTCGTTTCCGCCAAATTGATCTTCTACCTGTCTATCTAATAAAAAATTTGAGAACCATTTAGCTTTATCCATGGTAGGCAGCTTCCCGTACCAAAATTTTCGGCATTATTAGTTATAGAATTCAATGTTACGTTTAGGTCTGTATTTATGATTTTTGCGTGGGGTATTAATATTAATGTGTAAACTAAAGTAATTTTTTACAATATTTTTTTCCCATCGCCATCAATTGACATTTTCCCTCCTTAACCACTCTCTAAATACAGTCACATCGTTTTGGATAATTACTTATTTTATCACATAAGTACACTTTTATAAACAAAATATGGCGTTTTACCAAAGGTAAATAAATTATAATAGATAACTGTCTTAAGAATGTATATATATTTTTGTAAAAAATAATAAAAATATAGTTTATAAGAAAATATAGTCATCAAAACATTGAAATAAAATTCAAATATTAATTATGTGCTTAAAAAATATCTAATATGTGTAATAATATAATAAAAAATAAATCTATGAACTATACATTTTTCGGTAGTTGTTGGAAACTAATTTCATAAATTCAAGTCTGCTAATTTATTAAACTTATCAATTGCCTCTTTTATTTTATTGAAACGGATTTCAANTACTAATTTATTAAACTTATCAATTGTCTCTTTTATTTTATTGAAACGGATTTCAATTTTATTCCGTACGCTTATTGAGATTACGTTATTAGAACTATATATTTTAATGTAATTTTAAGATTGAACGTTTTCTATTAAAATTTTTAAAAATATATTAATTAAAATTATTTTTTGCGGTCTTTGGAAAATATCGTCTATAGCTTTGCGTTTACAGGCGCCTGCTAATTTTTGTCTCATAATTATNAATTTTTGAACACATATCTATAGCAAAGGTGACAATTGAGACTGCAATATTAATGTAGTATCCATCCGAGGTAGACGTCAATCGCACGAAATATTTACTACGTATTTACGAGTGACCTGTACACCAAACACAATGGACAGTGTAAGCGGCAGCACAACCATTGAAACGTTGTGGGAGCATATTAAACAGATGGACGCTTCGCGTATCGGATTATTTTTTTGTATAACGGCTGCAACAACCTTTTTGATTTTGCTGCATTTCACACAAACCGTTGACAGCAACAGATATCAGATTGTAAACAGTAGCGACAGCGATAGTGGATACGAAGATGCGGATGACATTGACAATTTAAAAAATAATTTGTTTATAATGACTAATCGTTTGGACGCTCTCGGTCGAGATTACATAACAATCGAAGATCGTGTTTTTATATTGGAAAAACGTATCGAAACAGTAGAACGAACATGCATATGAATGTCAACGTGTGTTATTTAACCAAAATGCTGACAAACAAAATAAAATAAATTAACTGATATTGTACTACAAATATAGTTACATTTTTACAAATGTAGAAACTGTACTATACTAATACACTAATAGATTTTTCAAAAAATCTAAGAGAATTGTAGTATTTATACGTGTTGATATCTACCAAAAAAATCAGACCATGATAATTTTTTATACAAAGTTAACAAAATGTTTTTTAGCTTCGATGCGAAGCTGAGAAGGTATTAATTTTACTATGATGTGTTTTTTTATTTTTTTTTTTGTGTCTGTGAACGCTTAATCATAGCTCTCGCTGGACCGATTTTGATGAACAATATGTCAAAAGATCACAAATCGTATCTAGTCGAAGACATTACCCTCAAAAATTGAAAAAAATTCCCTCGTTCCCCGTAAACGGGGGAAATCCCCCAAAAAATTACAAATTTAAAAATCGCTAATTTTCGATATTTTTTCAATTTTTTTTACTTAAAATTACCATAACTTTTTTAAAAATGATCGAATCAATATAATTTTTTTTTATTGATACCTTAGGTATTTACCTATNATATAATTTTTTTTTTTATAGATACCTTAAATATTTACCTATCATTTTATATATTTTTGTGAACATTTGACCCTTTAACAGCCCACAGGAATGGTTTCAAAATGGTAGCTTTTTTACAAAAAATTAACTTTTTCAACTTAACTTTTGAAAATGTTCCGGAAAGACTGTCACTTTTATATTAACCTTAAATTAAAGCTAATGTAATATACTTAAATTTGAAAAAAAAAAATTTGACCTCTGGACTTGTCTTCATGGTGAAAAAGACTACCGTATGCAAAAATATGCTATTTTTGTAAAAAAATTCATAATATTATATTTTACATTTTTTAACATTATGTTGCTATAACTTTTTAAAAAATTCATGAATCAACTTTATTCTTTAATGATAAATACTTTATATATACTTCTTTCATTCGACATACTTTTTTTTAAAATCGGACCATTTCCCTTTATACAGGGGGGGTGCAAACCTTTTTATATGCGTATAGAAAGTAGAACTTTTTCAACTTAACTTTTGAAAATGTTCCGGAAAGACTGACACTTTTATATATATCTTAAATTAAAGCTTATGTAATATACTTTAATTTGAAAAAAAAAATTTCACCTCTGAACTTGTCTTCGTGGTGAAAACAGACATCAAAGTTAAAGAAAAACGTACGATTTCCGTGAAAAAAATCTCGATTTTATATGTTATATTATTTAATTTATATTTTATATAACTTTTGGAAAAATGTATGGATCAATATTATTATTTTTTTATAATAAATATT